GCGTTTTGCAAATCTTCCCACATCGTGACGTAGGTATGTGGGGGCGTGTTAGAACGAGCCGTTTTAGGTAGGCGTGGTTGACTCTTAACTTTTATAAAGAATATCTCTTTGGATTTGAGACTTTAGTCTTTGCAACTTTACAGATCTTCTTTATGCACCAAGAGCTTGTAACACTCCAAAGAGAAAGGAAAAATTTTAATCGCATCATATGACCCCTTTAAGCAATATTTATATGAAAAAATTACAAAGTTTTTCCAGTTGTGTTAGTTTTTATCCTTTCTGATAATGAAAATGTTTTCATTTATTTGTAATTTTGGTTTTCATTAATGAGAGTAACACTAATTTTAAGTGTTTTTATCACATCGGCATCATTCTTTCAGTTTGTTATGTAGTTACTGGCAGCTGGCAGTTTTATTTACTCGCCAAAAGCAATTTCACACACATTTGGTGCTTGGCAAGTGTTCATTTTGGACTGGGAATGAGACCGCAGACAGTAGCAGACGACTATAAAAGAGTATTTTTGTGTTCATGCTCATCAGGATTCATTCTTTTACAGATCATTAAGAAAGACACTGGCTTTTGGAGGGACTTTGGCTTTGGAATGACCTGCCAATACAGATCCGATTTCATCAATATAGGTAACCGTCCTCTGAAGCAGCTGTTGACTGACATGAATTAAATTCATTTATACGGTATTCATTTATACGGTATTCATTTATACGGCTGGTCAAATGAATGTAAATAAGAGCAGCTGATGGTAGCACAGGTAGTTTAGAAATAAAGGACGAAGTTGTTAATGTATCTAGAATTTGATCTATAGCCAAATGTAGATATCCAGCCTGAGGTCATTTTGAATGTAAAAAGCACTTGAAACACTTACGCAGAGGCAGTAGAAGTAATATAGCATGAGTCAGCTAATGAGAACACAACAGGTCCCACCTGTGGGAATCAAGCGGTTCCCATGACTTAACCGTTCTCCTATCTAGACATGTGTAACATCACGTGATACAACAATAAGAGCTGATATAGATACTGATGTTTGGTAGAGTATATGCACTTCAGGAAACACATGAACATAGACATCTCAGCAGACTGAAGCCAAAAATCCATATGCTCCATTAAGGAAGTCAATACTTTTATACTCACAATTAAACAAATACATAAGCTACATCATGTTATATACACTGCTGTTTGGCATCAGTAAGATTTTTTTATGTTTTCAAAGAAGTATCTTATGCTCACCAAGGCTGCATTTATTTGATCAAAAATACAATACAATTTAAAATAACTGATTTCTATTTTAATGTTTTACTATGTAACTTGTACATAGTTCTTTTTCAGCATTTTTTAGTCTTCAGTGTCACATGATCCTTCAGAAATCATTCTCATATGCTGATTTGCTGCTCAAGAAACATTTATTATTATTATCAATGTTGAAAACAGTTGTGCTGCTCCATATTTTTGTGGAAAAAGTGATCGATTTTTCAGGATTTTACTCTTTACTATCACTTTTGATCAATTTAATGAATCCTTGCTAAATAAAAGTATGAATTAATTTATTTAATAAAAACCATCTTACTGACCTCAATTTTTTTTTATTAGTAGTGTAAATAGGAAATACAAAATGAACAAATATCCAAATTCCTGGACAAAACTACAGGAACAGCTGTTTGTCCTGAGGGAAGTCCAAGCTTCCCTTTAACAACAACAGGAGATGTGTGTAAACAAAGTGTTTATTCAACATTTTCAATAAATAGGAGCTATTTTTGCATGATCTGGTGCTAGATCCACAAAACATTCTCACCCCAAAGAATTAGAAATCTGTTATCATTTACTGCAGTTCTTTCTTTTCCGGAAAACAAAAGAAGATATTTTGAAGAAATGGAGCGTAGCGATAGTTCTGGCAGGCCATGTTAGTCAAGCTTGCATCAGCTGACACTCAGCTGATCCACGTCTACCTATGGGATCACGACACCAATCATAATTCCCTTCATAAGGTCCCTTCAGTCATTATACAGCAGCTATCGCTTCACTCAAGAACTAATCACCCACCTCCATCCCCAGCTCCTCCTCTCGTCCAGTCAGGACTTGGCAGTGAATATATCATTGAGTCAGACCACTGAATCATGT